CCAGCTGGGCAAAATTCTTAATAGTTTTATCTTTGAATTTGCATTTTGTAACCTGATGCAACAATGGAACATATCCTGGGTACTTGGAACCTGGCTTCTGTAGGATCCCACCTCCCATAGCCTTCCTGCTCTCCAAGGCCCACTCTTCCTCTCCCATCCCATGTAGCTTCCTTCCTGTTCCCACCCAGTCACTGCTGCCACCTTCTGGCCCACACAGGGCCTGGGCCTGGGCCTGGGAAAGATCAGGTGTGGGCATCCCACAGTGTCTCATTGCAGGGCATGAGGCAGCCGTCCTCACCCAGGGCTGACAGCATCATGGTGCAATTTGGCAAGTGACTGGGGTACCTTGATAGGAGGAGTCTCTTGCCCACCTCCCCTGGCATCAAGGTACCTGGCATGTCGATGCACAGAGTTTGTAATCTCCTGTGGGTTGGGTTGGGAAGGAGAAATGTCTGGCTAAATTTCTGTGTTCCTGCCTGGGATGTGGTGCATTGGTCTGGTGGCTGGAGGGAAAGGAAAGCCAATAGCCAGTGGCCACAGACACACACATTCTCATGCACACTGAATTTGGGGGCTCCTGGGTGACTGTGAGAGTCTGCATCCACCCTATGGATATCCCTGTGCCCAGGGGAGTGCAACATTAAATAGCAACAAAAAGTACCAGGCCAGGCGGGTCGAGAGAGTCGGTGGGGAAGTTGGCGTCTCTCTCCCCCGCGCCAGCTCCTGTACACGGAGCTGCATTCCTTGGCCCTCCTACCCCCTCCCTTGCCCGCCCCCCCCGCCCCCGGCCCCCTCAGGAAAAAAATCCATCCCAAATCACTCGAACCCGAGGGAGGTTTCCTCGCACCCTCAGGAAGACGAGCTTTCAACGATTCCCTCTTCTCCGTCTCCCCCCAAACCCCCTCTCCCAACTCCTTCTCCCGGCACCGAGTGCAGGTCCCTTTAAGGAAAGGGCGCCTACTCCGGGTGAGACTACAGTCCCCTCCCCTGCTCCCACCCTCTTCTCCCAGCGCGGAGTGCAGGTCCCTTTAAGGCTTCCAGCGGTTCTCAACCTGTGGGTCGCGAACAATGAAAATACATCCTGCATATCAGATATTTACATTACGATTTATAACAGTAGCAAAATTACAGTTATGAAGTAGCAACGAAAATAATTTTATGGTTGGGGGTCACCACAACATGAAGAACTGTATTAAAGGGTCGCGGCATTAGGAAGGTTGAGAACCACTGCAAGTTAAGCCTTGGCAACAGTGCCTTCTCCGAGTCAGACCACCGTCACTTCCCCTGCTCCCACCCCCTTCTCCCGGCGCCGAGTGCAGGTCCCTTTAAGGCGACAGCGCCTTCTCAGGGGGTCAGACCACGGCCCCTCCCCTGCTCCCACCCCTTTCTCCCGGCTCGGAGTGCAGGTCCCTTTAAGGCGATGGCGCCTTCTCCGAGTCAGACCACCGCCCCTCCCCTGCTCCCACCCCCTTCTCCCGGCGCAGAATGCAGGTCCCTTTAAGAAGACGGCGCCTTCTCCGGGTCAGACCACCTTCCTCTCCCCTGCTCCCACCCTCTTCTCCCGGCGCAGAGTGCAGGTCCCTTTAAGGCGATGGCGCCTTCTCTGGGTCGGACTACCGGCGGCGGCGGGGACGGCGAAGACCGCGGGAGCATGGCGGACATCGACCTGTTTCTGGAATGCGAGGAGGAGGAGCTGGAGCCATTCGACCAGTTTCTGGAATGTGAGGAGGAGGAGCTGGAGCCATGGCAGAAAACCAGTGATGTCACCGAGGATTCTGTAGTTGAAGATGCTAATTCAGTGGATACAACCACCACAGTGTCTGTGAGCCAGCAGCCAGTCTCAGCGCCAGTGCCCATCGCTGCCCATGCTGCTGTTGCTGGGCAGCTCTCTGCACCCGCCACGGCGAGTAGCAGCAGCGGGGCACAGAACAGCGACGGTACAAAGAGGCCTCTTGTCAGGCTAATTGCTGATGACCATGCGGAAAGAAGCCGGCGTCGGGGACAGACCATGTCTGACGAACAACGATTGGCACAACGTATCTCTGAAGCAGAAAGAAAGCAACGTCGTCGACAGAACATGTCTGAGGAACAACTGTTGGCACTACGCACCGCTGAAGCAGAAAGAAGCCGGCGGCGTCGACAGAATATCTCCGAAGAACAGCGACTGGCACAACGCATCTCTGCAGCCGAAAGAAAGCAACGTCGTCGACAGAACATGTCTGAAGAACAACGACTGGCAGAACGAATCTCCGAAGCCGTAAGGAAGCAACGTCAGCGACAGAACATGTCTGCAGAACAGCTATTGGCACTACGCACCGCTGAAGCCGAAAGAAGCCGGCGTCGTCGACAGAACATGTCTGAAGAACAACGACTGGCACAGCGCATCTCTGCGGCCCAAAGAAAGCAACGTCGTCGACAGAACATGTCTGAGGAACAACTCTTGGCAGAACGAATCTCTGAAGCCGAAAGAAAGCAACGTCGTCGACAGACTATGTCTGCAGAACAGCTGTTGGCACAACGTACCTGCGAAGCCGAAAGAAGCCGGCGCCGTCGACAGAACATGTCTGAAGAACAACGACTGGCAGAGCGTATCTCTGCGGCCGAAAGAAAGCAACGTCGCCAACAGAACATGTCTGAGGAACAACGACGGGCACTACGCACCGCTGAAGCCGAAAGAAGCCGGCGTCGCCGACAGAACATGTATGAAGAACAACGACTGGCACAATGTACTGAAATGGGAATTTCTAGGGGTGAAAAAGACAGGTTTAAGGACATTTTAGAAATTTTAGCAATTAAGGGGACCGTGGAAGAAGCACAGGGCTGGAAAGCTGCAACAGGTGCATTTCCATAGAATGAGGGAGCTGGAAACAACAGAAGGTCTATATTTACAAAATAAAGGTAAGGAAACCCCTCATTCAAAGGGAGAAGGAGGAAGCCCAAAGGGAATAGGTAAACAATAAGGAAGGCGGGGAGGAAAACCTCACCTTTGAGCTCTGGAGTTACTATAGTAACCAGTCTAAGGGAATAATGACCAATCAGAAGGGATCAAGGCACTGGGACTTGCAGCCTTGATAAACCCTGGAAACAGGAAGCCGGCAGGACTCTTCCCCCTCCCCACGTGGGAGTCTGTGCTGTGAGATTCCGCTTCCCTACGTGGGAATCTGTGCTTGTTCTTCAATAAATTTCCACCTTTGTTATAAAAAAAAAAAGTACCAGACCAGGGCAAGACAGAGACCACAGAAGATAAGAAAAATCTTTATATCTTAATATACTAAAATAGTGGCCTGGTGCACGAAATTCGTGCACGGGGCGGGGGGAGGAGTTGTCCCTCAGCCCAGCCTGCACCCTCTCCAATCTGGGACCCCTTAGGGGATGTCAGACTGCCAGTTTTAGGCAGTCGGACATCCCTCTTGCAATCTGGGACTGCTGGCTCCTAACCACTCACCTGCCTGCCTGCCTGATTGCCCTTAACCACTCTGCCTGCATGCCTGATCACCCCCAACTGCCCCCCCTGCTGAACTGCTCACCCCCACAAACCCCACCGCCATGACCCTACCGGATATGGCTTTTGTGTCCTCGAACTGGCTACTGCCTCCCCCAACATCAAAGCCTTGTCCGGACTGAGCATCAGG